GCAACAGGTAAAGTAAGGCCGGACGACCGAGGAAGACATGACCTTGTTAGAGCGGAGGTCGCACACGCCGCACCGCAGCCGATAGACAGCTCGTAGCAAACACGCGAATTTACTCGATACATTATTGTTGTAAGGATCGACAAGTGAACATAGTAATAATAGATAAAAAATACTGTATTTTAAGGATTGATTTAAAGCTGACACAATCGAGACAATTGTGACCAATATTTGACGAACGATATAACGATTTGAAAGACAAAAACTGGATGTGCCGCTCCTGATATAGTGGGATAAGGGCAGGTAGATGGTTTTAATGATAAACGTAGTGTCCTAATAATATACAATATATTAAAAATTATCTCATTGAGTAAAGAGGGTTGATATTCTTCAAAAGAAAGCGTAAAAATTAAGAGGTACTCATATTTAAGTCGGTGATAACAGAGTTATAGCTACTTGTAACTTTACCATAAACATTTTAAATACTGGACAATTGGTAACTTTAACAAGAGTGTAACTCAGTTCTCCTTGAACGTCCTATAGTTATTCGTTGCACGTTACATGTCTACAATGATGTGCTTTGTTCCATTTGTTACCGTGTAATGTGATGTCATGCGGACAAGCTTGTCGCATGTCGCTCGCTACCATAACTAGACGATTGCTGTTACCAATGCAGAAATAAATGTTTTCAAAATAGATATTGAAAAATCGATAAATTGATATTTCATATAATACTCCAGAGAACAATACTAGGCGAATGGTAGCCGTTAAAAATGGATTAGTGGTTCAGGCTAAAAAAGATTAGGAAAACTGTTTGTTTGACTTCTATTAAGAATAATATTTTTTTCTGAATTTAAAATAAGTTACATAGTCTATAATTGATTTTAAGGTTATTCAATACTTTGGGCATGTTATGAGGAGGGATGAATCGCATGTTACAAGGAGAACGTTAGTTATGAGTGTGGAAGGGTAGAGGTAGACCTAGAAAGAGATAAATGAATTGCGTGAAAGGTGATATCAAAAAGGGAGCGATGACTGAGATGACGTATGATAGAGTTATTTGGAGGACAAAAACCAGTTGTACCGACCCTACGGGAGTAGGATAAGGAGGATGATGATGATGACAATCAGTTTCTTTGGATCGAGGTAAGGCATTATTATAAGTTTTCGCAACATTAATTTTGTGGTAGGAAAAATAGAAAAAGACGTGTTAAATATGTAAAGTAACACTATGCTACTGCAGGAAGATGGAATAAATTATTAAGCGTTTTTATTGTTGCCACACAAAAATTGTTTATATCCGTTAACTTAATCATTCACGTACGTTAATAAGCCTTTTTTGTCTTTCCCACATCAATATTGTTAAGTAAAACATGGAAAGGTGCTTGTTAGTGTTGTAATTGATTGTTTCAGAACGACTTGTTTCCCGTATCCCGTAACGAAAATATTTCGTTAAATATTATCTACTAGCTTTCGCCCGCGACTTCATCTGCATGGAATTTAAAAATAAGTTAGCAGCCTATGTGTTCTTCCAGACTATCCTCTACGTCTATGCCAAATTTCATCGACATCCGTTCAGCCGTTTACGCTACACACTCTAACAAACATCCGTACATCCATCTAAACGTTCGCATTTATAATGTTAGTAAGAAGTTAGATTATTTTCGTTTGCTCTATCTTACTAATATTATAAATGTGAAAGTTTAGATGGATGGATAGATGAATATTTGATAAGTAAGAATGTTGACGAATCTAATAATCGATGGCACAGATGTAGAGGATAGCCTGAAAGAACACATAGGCTAACAATTTTTTAGTAATACTCTAACTTTTGATGCTTTAATTTTGTCAATTTTATGTTTTTTGACATTTCAATGAATAAAAGGTGTAGCTATGTAGAAACATCATGCCTATTAAAATATGTTATCTTGTTTTTAATGAGATTTTTTTATCGTTTCGACATTGCGTGAATTAATATGATACAAATTGCAAGTCAATTTCTAATTGATGAATAGTGACTAAGCAGATTAAATAGTTTCTTGTAGTTAGTAGAATTATTTCGGTCTTCCTTTTTAAATGGTAATTAAAACTATTGTAGAACTAATATCGTCTTTTGTAACATATATTACGTTACAAAGGAACATGGTTATACCAAGTTAAATAACTAACACATACAATTCAGATTATTCTTAAATAAATAAAAAACACACACTTCTTTGTTGCCTGAAGAGGTCAGCAACTACAGCATATTTATCAATAATGCTTTTTTTAATAAAAAGCCCTACACTTACGTAACGCTTTAGGCTATACATTTTCACGCCATTATACTTAGGGGGTAAACATCAAGAAAACAAGATTGCTAAGGTTTGTCATGTCATGTCATTTTTGATATTTGCTATTGATAATTTGACAAATGTAAACAATAAAATAAATTTTTCATAATTTCATGGCGATAAAGCCGCACGAGAACAGCTAGTTTAGGATAAATGTCTAAATTTTTATTTATACCATCTTCTACGTTTGATGAATAATGATTTTGTTCCGCATTCACTTTACATACGGTTCACGCAGTTTAATATTAAATTATGGTGAATCATTGAGATAGGACATAGTATGCATATATAGTGAGTCAATACGTTTTGAGTCACACTGTTTCCATGAATGATATTGTCGTTAGCACTTGCACTGCATAACTCCAATACAAATATGACTGTGTGTACAGCCTGTCTTGAAACACACTTGTTCATATTGTATTATAATTTACTTCAATATTTATACCTATCAAAAACAGAGTCCCCTATTTCTGTTTAAGAACGAGTTTTTTTTAAATACCATGTGGCAAACAAGCAAACGGGCGCCTGAATTCTCCGAATTAACGAAGCTGCCGCTGCTTAGAGGCATCGGCAATTGCAACGCGTTGCTACTTTTTATTAACAGAGGAGGGCACGCACAGTAAAGGAACTTCAACACAAAACTTCTTTACTTTCCTCTGTCAAATCCACTTCACCTATTAGTATGAAAAAGATGGGATGGGAAAAGTGGATTAAGTTAGGCTTCGGGCATGCACACTTTGAGACGAAATGTGGCATCGCTTCCACTTTACGCCTTTCTTCTATCTACGTTTTATATTTACGTTAGATGTAATAAAAACCGTCATAAACTTTGTGATAAGAATATTTTATATGTCACGACTTCTGAGTGGGTTAACTACCAACTTCACGTTATGGTTGTTATTTGTTTCAATATGACAATCACGTACATCTTATTGATGCAGTGATTACAAGGACATTTCTATTGAACAGTGACGGTTAACTGTGTCGAATTCTGTTAATTTCATCGAGTAGTATTAATGTTTGCTGCAATATTTAACATGCGTGATATTGTATTGCAAAATATTGGCAACAATACGGAAAACACGACATTGTCGCGCACTGAATGAAACTGGCAATAAGTGATAGAAAAAATATATTTCATAATCCTTAAATTGGCTTAGTTGTGATCGTTTCAGTTAAGTGGAATAATTAAGTTATTTTTTTTAAGCACAATCTTGTATTTTAATTTTCAATACCAGACGACCAGACCAGACTTTATTTCTTTTTTCAAATGACATCTGACTTATGATAATTAAACAGTAATAATAAATAAAACTTAAAAAAAAAAACTAAATCATCCCATATATACTTATGGTGGTCTAAGTAAATGATTACTTAGCCGTTGCTAATGTCGCTTGTAAGCAAGTGGAATATTATATAACTCTAACACCATTAAGATGTTAATTATTTTTTTTTTTTTGTTAATCGAGGGATATTTAAAATTGTAATAAGTGTAGTTATCGTACAAAATACGTACGAAAATCATTCAAAATGATATAGCAAATTCAGGGCGTAAATTATTCAAGTTGTCAAATGACCCTGAGTTTGTTTAAAATGCGTTAAACAAACTAAGTGAGCGCGATATCCGGTAAAGTAATACTTCAAGTTTATAATGGTCACTTGAATGTTTATTACATTAATAGGAAATATACTGATATTTGGTTTACTTTAGAATTGAAAGCGTAGGCGCCAGTAGCCTTGCCGGCATGTCATACTGACTTAAACGTTGTCCTACACCTCCTCCTTTTAAGGTATAGATAGGCCATACTGTGTACACTCCGCACAGACTATAATGCAACCGACCCACGCTATATTAATATTTATAACCTGTTATTCATTGTCTTAAACTCGATTCGGATGAGAAATAATGAATAAAATCTTGAATAATATTCATTCTTTGCATTCTGTCTTAACGTAATATTCAATGTTGAAAACGTTGAATATTTATATTTAAACAGCAGCTGATCAAGTAAGGTCTAAAGAATTTACATAGTTTGTACATACGAGTACATTCTGTTTATAACTAGTGTTCAAGGTTTTTTTAAATTATATTTGCCGTGTCGTATAAAAGTGTACAGATGTTAATAAAGTTTTATACTAGGTAATTGATTTATAGAAGTTACGTTTATGTAATAGAGTGTTAACATTTTCCCATGCGGAGTCTGCCAGTGTTGTATGTTCTGTTACGGACGCTAACTGGGTTACAAGTATTACGTCGACGCGCGTAACCGTAGTGTATTTAACTCTTAAGTTACAAAACAAATATATAATTAATACGTTAATAATATCGATAAATAACTTATCAGATATGCTTCATGCACCGCTGAATGCTTTCACTTACACGACAAGTTTTTAATTTGGATCTTCCTTATAAAAGAAATCGATTAACAATAATTGCTGAAAATCGACTTTTTATTGAAGTTTAATCGTTTTGATTATTAACTTATCTATCACGTTATTTATTGTCTTTTAACCTTGGCAATAACAAGAAAAGGAATAGATAGAACACATATTAAATATAATCTTATAAGAGTACAGTTGTCTAAAATAAACCTTAAAGCATAGAAGGTAGCGCTTCTAAGTAAGCGTTGAGATCATCATTTATCAGTTGCATATGTAATGCATAATCACCTGAGCTGCTGCTAACGCCAAAGCACCAATTAAATACAACGGCCACATGTTGTCCAATTGAACGTTACACTGATCACAATATTAAGGCACGGTTTGTTTGTTTAGTCGTCAGTTGTTAGCGCAACATGGCGGCCGTCTGGCGCGAGGGATCGAGTCACACTGACAGGCCGCACAAGGCACAAGTAACCGGCCTAACTCACAACAGCTAAGGCAAGTTACACACCAGCGTAGAACAGTGAATCCGAACAGTACTGCGTTTGAATGCTACAGTAATTACTGTAGTCTCCACTGCTCTATTGGGTTGTTCTACCTTTGTGTGAAACTAGCATAACTTTACTTTCTGTGAACGGATGCGTCCACACCCGCACCTTATTGTCTTAATGTTTGCTAAAGATATTTTGTTTGTACTGACCATATACGTTTAGAATGAAATCGAAACCTCTAAATAATTACACAATGCATTATGTACGTATATAAGATTTTAATGTGTTTTTTTTTAATTTGTTTTTAATCTAATAAGAATTTAATAGCGCAAATTACTTGAATTTATTATTAATAATGTTTAAGACATTCTATATGATCTAAATAATCAGATAGTTATAATATATCGACAGTTGGAACGCAATAAGAATATCAATCTATAGTTTTTATTTCTCGGTAAAACAGAGTCAATTTATACTACGGGTTTGTTATCGTGACAAAACACGTGTTAAGACAAAGAAATATTTATTTTTTGCCACATATGACACATCTAGATAATATATCTATTCTGTTATTTAAAATTTAAATTATGTTAATTTAAATTGCATTGTTATGTTAATATAATAATCTCATATATCGGGATCAATGTCTTGCCAAACTCTAGTGTGAAGTGTTCTATGCAATATTGCGTTGGCGGCGTTCGCAATTACAACACACTCACACATACGTACTGTATTCTTACACACTCACACACTGATCCAACCAGGTATGGCACCCGATGATCCTTCCAAAACTTACTTGTTGTTTTTTGTCCGTTTCGTTCGAACTAGTCTGGACTTTTGCACTTTTTTACCAAAGCCAGTTTGACTTGTTATAAATATTCTAAGAATTATAAACAAGCAACTTTAAAGACGTAAATTCTAATGGATAAAAACTGGACAATTTTCTTTAACAATCCTACTTTGTCCAGAGGACATAGAAAAGATTTCAACGCGTAACCTAAATGAGAAGTGTGTCTAATTGAGTTTACTTTTTAGTAAGTTTACGATCATTTAAATTATAGCTTGAATATTTAAGATTTGAATATTCTATCCTCCTATGGACCCATATTCATTAAAAATATTAAATTACGTAATTTAAATTAACTTCTGTTGTTTATGTCCGAGCTAACAAATTCCAACTAACAACTAATTTTAGGAAAGGAATACATTCCTCCCCTCCAGTACTTTCAAATAGCGCCATCTAGTGAAAATGTTGTTCAACCTGTATCGCAAATGTCCGTATGAAAAGAGGGCGCTGCGGTCGGACATGTCTCCGCCCAAAATCAATAATCCAGTGGCTTGCGCTGTCCCGCCGATTTTCACATCAGTATCTCGTAAGGGAGCCCATTTCACTCATTTTCGTGTTGGTTAACGCGCACCAGTGCTCCGCGAAATACTACGAACCTCCCCAGCTCGCCCTAATAACTGTAAGTAAAATAATAATTATTATATAACGAAAATCGTATCAAAAGAACATTTACTAATATTCAAGTAGAAGTTCATTCATTAAATATATGCCGGGAGAAGTAAAACGAGCACAAATCACTCGTATTGTGGCAGCGGGGTTAAGTTCAAATACGGAGCCCGATGTAGGGCGGGGATGGATCCTATTGTAACACTTATATGTATCTTATGAAGCGTAAGCCTTTTTAATACATTTAACTTTTAAATCGCAATGTAATCAATTATGGTTTTTTAGTTGATAGTTACTAAAATATTTAACATAAATCTTGATTTTGGTATTGAAAATTATATTAAATAGTCATTTATTTTTTTAAATTACGATTAAGTTAATTCGTCATATTAAAAGATTATCATTTTATCATTACAAACTATCGCTAGGCGTCTAGAATAAATAAACGATGTAGTCACGAAACTATTTATAAAGAAGCATTTCTTTTGATTCGTAAATAAGAACGTTCAGAAGTCGCTTTCATTTTCTGAATACTAATGAATCGAACTCCCTCGAGTCTACGCATTTTCAATTTCGTGGTTTAAGGCGAAGCAGGACGGTGGCAATTCTTTTTAATGAACGCCTGCGAAATGATGAATAGCAACTTTAACACGCAAACTTTGCATTATTAAAATCTATTCAAATGCCCACGTATTACTACTTCAAAGTCCTATATGACCGATATTTCTGTATATAGTTTATATGTGTGCGGTGTGTCACAGTGTTTTTATTGATTAAACAATTCAGAGATTTTCAATAGAATCTTACGTAACGAAATAAACTAAGAAACTTGGCGCAAATCCAGAAGACAACTAAGCGTCGTTGGACGTAAAAGAAGTTTAATACTGAAATTAGCTAGAATCAAAAACCTTAATAATGGCATTTCAACAATAATTATATCTACAGGACGTGGACGTTTTGAACTATAACAACCGGAGATGTAACATAAAGTCGTCTCCAAACAAATTATAAATAGAACTTCACTAACCCTTTAAGTCGTTTTAAAAAGTATCAATGACACTTTTTAAATACACGTTTTCGTGAATAGAAATATAATTATATTTCATCGGCAAATCACTCGAGATTTCAACAAGAAAATGATGTTCTCAGATTTATTTTCGTTGTCTCTTGAGAATTTTCTTTACCATTCCAATGTTATTTCTCTCCGTATTCTAACCTTTCCTTTATTTGAAGAAATAAAGTAAGTTTCTGGTTCAACGGTAGCAAAATCAATCTGAGCGTTTGTAACACGGTTTAGAGTTTCCTTTGAAAAATACGACGCGTGCGGACGACTTTTTGATGTTCTTGTTACAGATAAATCTCTCCGGAGGATTACGTAACCGTCCATAACAATAGCCCATGTATTTTATAGGACGTTTTTATCTGAGTAGTAACTATTGTTGTTTTATATTTATGTATAAACTACCTTTTGCCCTGTGTGTTCTTTAAGAGTATCCTTTACATCTATGTATGCCAAATTTTAAAGAGATCAGTTCAGCAGTTTAGACCACAAACGCTAACAAACATTCATCCAACCTTCCGTTCATCTAAACTTTTGCATTTATAATATTAGTACTCGTAAGATACAAAGTAGGTTATAAAATTGCAACAGTAACGTTTTTTACATATTTAAAACAATGTAGTTACAAGTTATATTTTTAAACCAATAAACCTTCAAAAGCAATTGAAAAATTAGTTAACGTCTCAGCAATGTTTGTGTCGGAGATAGGTAAAGAATGAAAAGAAACGAAGAATGAAAGGGATTGGAATTATATGGCCATGGATCGACTCATTCACTACGAAACGCAGAAGTCAACTTACACCAGCTTAAGTTAAAACTGGGTCACCACGACGATGACTTTATTTTTAATTGTTGCAATAGGGGCGCGTGAAGACTTACCCCTTAGTAGCTAATTATCCAATCAATATTGAATTTTACGTACATGTTTCTACGAATTTAAAACATATAAATTTACTTCCTTAATTTACTGTTTTTTATTCGAAGAATGTTTTGGCAAAATACGAAAAGATTAATACATAGGATTCGATGAAAAATTCTCAATGTATTTTTTAAAGGATAATAATTTACCCATAGCGTGCCTGTAGGATAAGATGTCTGAGATCTTTGATCCTCCTGAGTCGAGTCCGAAGCATGTATCTATATAATGTGTCACGTTTTGGGTCAAGAAGGTATTCAGCGGGCGCGTTTACGACAAGCCAGTTCTACTTATACCTACATCTAAGGTTATAACTTCGTTGTTTATGGTTGTTTTTATAGCTCAGTGGCCGGGAAACTAACTTTAACTATTTACTGCCTAATAACAAGTGAATTATAGTTTAATAATTGAATTTTATTGTATAATAATATAGATTTATACTAGCGAATTTTCCTGTCTTCGCACGAGTAGTGCATTTGTTAAAATTTGTTTCTTAAAGTAACGTCGTCGTGTTTTTGGATGCAAGGATTTTGTTAAAAGCGAATATTTATTTTAATACAGAAATGTTAAAATAAAAGTAACTATTTTAAAAACAATTGTCCCATACCTTTGTCGTTGAGACGACTTGTTTTTCCTGAAGTCCGATTCCAGCTATTGTATTTTACTGTATAGACTTTGTGTCACGCAGGAGCTAACAAAATGTTATGCATATTTACTTCTAGTACTTTATTAAAATATTGAATAACAAATAAAACAAAATATGTTCGTGTTTAAAAAATAATAGAGATAGTTTAGCTGCTTGTGGGTATTTTCATAACTCATATTTTATTTTAAAAATATGAAAACGTGATCGTAATATTTAAAAGTACCCACAGATAGCAATCCCGTTTACAGTTAAAAACAGGTTATGTTTATCATGATTGTGATATGATATTATCAATAATAAATACGATTTTTCTTTGTTAATATTCATTTCTCCTTCAGGTAGTACTCCCTCGCTGTTTATTCGACCTGCTGCATTTCGTCCTGTTTTGGACATCTTAATCTCGCAATTATTTGCGAGTAAAATAGCTTAGGTAAGTGTTATAAGTTTTATACTTTGTACATAATGTTGTCATTCGAAATGTTTAAAGCCCGCCATATATGCTTTAATCTCGTGCTAACTGTTTTAACAATCGAAGTGTCCAGTTAAAACTGTTAGATTTGATCGTCTGTACGTCTCCAGCTGATTATAAATTGTGTGTAAATGTTGTTTTTTAATTAGAGTATAAAATAATCAATGGTGCATTAGGAGCTGTCAAAATAGAGCGGTCGGGGTGTCCTGGCATCTGTGGCCCGCAGGCCGCGACCACATCAACCCTGTCTTTCTCAAGCTTCCGAAATTCCTTCACTTCAAATGTCAATTACCTGAAAAGAAGGTATGTAAACATCTTACCTTTTAATTATTTTAATATTATTTTATAAATTTTAGGTTATTTATATTACTAATTCAATTATAAACTACAACAGTTTGTTTAAAATTTGGATTTTTACTTAACATCTTCAAATTAACATACATTTTTATTTTTATTTCGGTTTCAAAAGCATTAATTGTTTCTTATATTGCACGCTAACACAATATAATAATTCCAATTCCATTGACACATATATAACATACAACGAACAGAATTAAAATAAACTCTAGTTTGGAATTAATAAATAATTTACTTCAAATTAATTACATTTAGATATATGTGTATGATCCTCAATTCTGCTAATAACTATGGACTTTATAAGCAACTTGTCTGAAATAGCAGAATTGAGGGTATGACCTGCTTCACCGCGTCGCTGCCACCTTCCCTCCACACATCCTCCTACCCGCTGCGTACTGTGTAGCACCACTCATTCGTACAACATCCACGCTGACCGGTCGCACGAACATTTTTTCGTTTGCTTTTGTAACGAAAAGCAGTCGACCATTGTCTATGCATGGCGCTTAATTACTTTCGATATCATTGTTGGCAATCGATGTGGCTGTTAGATTTTTTTTATAATTATAGGTTACTTTAATTGCAATTACTTCTGTCATATCAGGAATTAGCGCATTGAGAAATGATTAACATCACTGATCTAACTGGAATAAAAGAGCTGTGAAGACAATGATAAGAAATAGGTTTGGTATTAAAAAAAAACTAAAAGATTACGTCCCCAAAGAGAACATTTTAAGTTTGTAGGAATAATAAATGAAAACACCGAAAACATTAGGACTGTAGCAAGCCTTGTTAAAATAACTCTAAAAGGGAATTCGGCTATACTTTATAGGCAGTTTGCAGTCACCTATGGGATTCCAAGGTTAAAGGTTTTCCTGGAATCTACCATAAGCAACTAAGATTTGATATAAATAAGAAATAGCATAGGCGTGGAAGAGTGGCTACATTTTGTGCGTGTTCTGGTCCGTTTGTGCGTGTCCCTGTCCCGTGGCGGTGGGTGGTGCGGTGTGCGGCGGGCGCGTAGCTCAGTGGAGGCGTTGCGCAGATTCAGCTCGGGGGACCTGCAATCCGAGTGCGATGAGGGCGAGGTGGACCCCTACACCGGCCGCCCGGCCACCACCAGCCAGCCTAAGCCGCAACCGCAGCACCAGCGGCCCGTCTCGCAGGGTGAGTGCACATTATACAGCAACTGCCTTAATTTACTGCAAATATTAATGTCACCAGTCACACGTTTCCAGAAAAGGTACGTAGGTCCATCTTATGAGACTTACACGCGTAAAGTTTCATATCAGCATATTCCAGCATTACTGCTCATAATGAAGTAAAACAAAAAAAAATTGGCGCTAATAGAAATAATTGCGCATTTTTAACTTCGCCATTAAACTTGACAAAACTTATGAAAGCTGTTTATCTCATTACATGGAGCGAAGAACTAGTAAAACTTTTAATTTGTTTGAAGAAGGACTATGGCGGAGTAAATTGATTTCTAACTTTTAGACAATGTCCCCTGTGACGTCATAATGCAGACTTAGTTCATCATATTATACACTTTTTTATTCTATTACATTCAGACAAACTGCTCAAGTAATTCTAGGAAAGTAACGAAGGTTCGGCACAGTATGTGCTGGTATTCCATACATTTGTATCAGCCGTTATATCTGAATCCACTCCTTTCTTAAGCGAATCCCGTTTAATCCTGCAAATTTTTTATATGGGTTCAAAATTTTTATGTATCATCGTATTTCGAATTCGGAATAATTTTGCTTTTCTTCTTGAACGTAGCTACTGGTGGTAGCATCGGCAGTGCCTCCAGTGTGTCTGCGAGTTCGGCTGCGGGCACGGGTAGCGCGGCGGCGGCGGGCCCGGCGCCTGCTGGTGGCGACCTGTCCCTCAACTTGCGTGGCGGATCTCGAGGCACTTCGGCGCCCTCCTCACCTGCCAAGTCCCGGGAATCGCTATTACAGCGCGTGCAGTCTCTCACCGGTGCTGCTAGAGACCAGGGCGCCAACTTGTTAGGTAAATACTCTAAGAGGTCGGATACCTTTGACTAAACGATTGCACAACTGTTTAGTCGCGCTTTGATTCCTATGAGCTTATATGGAGGTGCACACACTACTCGATTTTTAGTTATGCAAATAAACAGTTGAATGGGCTGCGAAACAATGAACAATCGCACAACTGTTGTGCGATAGTTTAGTCAAAAGTGTGCGCCCGCTCGAACTGTATAAAACATAATATTCTATAGTCTTCTGTTCTTTACTATACAAAATGACCAGAGGATCAGTGACGTCAGTACAAATTAATCACAGTGCACGTTTTATTCAATTTAAAGTGCAATAAGGTCGAAGATTGAATGCAACTAGGGGAAAAGGTGGGCTTTGTTTAGTCTTTGGCTTTGGGCAGGTCAATTTGTACGGACATGTTGACCTTTGTGTCGAGCGCGGTTCTGCTGATGGAACACTATGTTTCGTAAACGTTCAATGCAAACAGCTCGCGTCTGCCGCTGAAGTATTGAATGAAGACGTAATTGGATTCCGTTGCTTTGTTTCCATTTCAATTGGACATAAATGTATTGCATATTTAACTCTATTTGAGCTTAATAATGAAAGTAAGATTATTACTTATGTATTGGGCAGTGATCGTTTATTAAATTGGTTGTTAGAATACTTCAACATTGTAGGTGACTAAAGATTGTCTTTTGTTACTTTGCATCTTTAATTTTATTAAACAAAAGGTAAAATTAACCACACGTTCTCTGTTTCCATAATTACAGCATAATATTTTTTCGAAAAGAATTTCGAGATCCAAATAGCGTTATTTATTTACTAATAAATGAATTATAAAATTTAAGTCTTGTGTCATCAGAAAGCCTAACGAGCGTTTTACAGCCGAAATAAAAAGTTCATTCGAGTGCCTCTTGACGGCCTCATTCACGATTTCTCCCTTAAATTTTTGAACAAGACGGAACAAAACTAAACTTTCAATGGGTACTTGATCTTTTTGAATAAAACCTTACATTGTTAGCAATAATAATCTATACCAAGCTGTTAATAATAAATATGAAATAACCTAAGCAGGGACAATTAATTAACTCATGAGAATTTTTCAAAATTGTGTTATTAATGATCTAAAAACATCAGAGAGGTGTAAAAAGAGACCAAAGGAAGAAATAAAAAAATTACTTACAGAGTAAAGTTCTTTTTAATGAAAAGTTAAGCCTTTTGTATTTTAACCACCTCCCTTCTTATACCTGTACAAAAGACATTTATAAATATGGCTGTTAATAGGCAGCGTAACATCTGTGGCGTCAGTGGGTCGCGGTTACAACCGAGATCGCTGCGTCACGCTGCTTGTTGTGGATGACCAGAACACTGACTGGTCCAAGTACTTCCGCGGCCGCCGGCTCCCTGGCGAGTGGGATATAAGAGTCGAACAAGCCGAGTTTAAGGTATGTTCTACTGTTGCGATGCTTGGTTTTCCATTGCCAAATACTGGAATAAAATATATCTTTGTTAAATGTCAATATGTTTTGGAATAAGACTTTTTGTTGGAAAGTCCACATTGATGTTAGTTATTTACTTTTACTTGTTATCTCTGATTTCTACGTAAATACTATTAATAGGACTTTTATTGAGATATTGTACGTTTAATTACAACGTCATAATAAAAGTGCCGGGAACCATTTACAATATAAATTGCTCTCAATATCATTATATTGATGGACCGTGCAGAAACCGTAGAAGTTCACGGGCATACGACTTAATATACTAATTCATTATGTAGAGGTAATGAGTTTTTACTATACTTTTAAAAATAATTTTTACCTTGCCAAGGATGGGGTTAAATATTTGAATGTAGGAGTGACACTTAAAATTGGGTAATCTTCTGTTCATGACAATAGATATTGTTATGAATCATAAGTTTTGAACCTTGCAATTCATTACAATCACCCATTTTTATAGAAGCAAAAGAATATAATGTAACCACTGTGGTCTAATTAGATTCGTATAGGTATAGTCATAATTTAACACAGAACTCGCGTATTTTGAAAAGATGGATTTCCTAAGCTAATTTATAAACATGAGCTTTTGATATGAAAAACTTTTCGTATCAACATTAATATCATTACTATGAAGTCAAGTAAGGGGGAAATTGAAGGCGTGATGGTAATACATAAACGTCCTTTTTGTGAGTTTACGTTCTTTACCTGTTGTAACATTATTATATGTTTTTTTTTATTGAAAATAGTATATTATAATAATAGGGCAATCCCATTTTGTATGATTTGTTAATGGTCAAATGTCAGCCAAATATAAAGTTAAACAGTCTTCAGTTAAAAAAATTATGTCTCATAGAACAAATTCGTATGAATAACTTGAATTTAACTTCGAGTTTTATTTTTAATTTTTGGGTTCACATTCATAGGTATTTTTCAGTAAAATATTTCTCATTTTTAGTCCAAAAGTAAATAATACATGTACGTATAACTTTAGTGGGAAACTCTTTGCTTACTTAAGCAGGGCACTGATCGTTTTAATAGTAATGTTTGTTTGCAGGAGCTGTCCGTGACGGCGAGTTCTGACGGCGCCAACGTGTCTATGGCGGTCTATCGCAGTGGCACTAAAGTGACGCGATGTTTTAAGTTAGTATTGTTATCAGTAAACATGCGATATATGTGTAAACATGGACTAAGTTTTAAAATACAATGAATTTATAAATAATTAAAATCTCATCGACGTTAATGCGGTCAAAGTTTGCGCATTGCAGAATGTTTTTACATAAATTTGCATGTTCTTATACAATTTATTTTCTATTCGTTTTACAACAAAAATAATTTATTTTTTGGTTCAAATGTTCTTGTATAAAAAGTAAATTTTGATATTAATAAAATACAGAACACTTTTCCCCTGATATAAAAGTACAGAGATACCTTTAAACCTGTAAACCATTAATTAAGTTGGGCGATTTGTTAATGTCAAGTCTACAATTTATTTTCAGCAAAGTTAGGCTTACAACTTCTTACATTTATTTTACCTATCAAGATTTTTAGAAAGTAAGAATTCGTTTGAAAATAAAAAGGTACACCAGTCTGAGAATTCTTATTACTCCAATAAGACTTTTCCAAATTAAAATAATACTTCAAGCTATTTGAGTGTAGCGTTTAGAAAAGGAAATATGTATTAAAATTTTTTTTTTTTTGTTATTGTTACTAGTTAGTTATAAACGAGTTTTGTCGTAATAACAATAAGCCGATATCGCAGTCATCTAAAAAGTGATTATATTTTAAAGGGTCCGCAAGGAAAAGTTATCTCCATTCAGGCTCAGAATTTGCGACTGAATTTATGTTTGTCCCATTTCATAATCTGCGTAATAAATGGGCCATGCGAAGTGCTTAGTGGGTATCATAAAGCGGTTTTATAGTACATTTAATAGTCAACCGACTGTGAGAATGTATTTTGAATGTGTTTACATTAGATCTGCAAGTATGTGCTCAAATTTTACAAGTAAAAGTTGCTGCAGAGTAAATACTAAAATGATTTATGACACAACACACATTCAGAGCCACCGACACGCCTGTCGTGTTCATTATCATAGTTACGCCAATAAGGTAGCGACATTGAACGTGTTAATGTCGTGGTATTGCTAGTTTCAGTTATTAGTGGTAAGGTCATCATTCTCTTTACTACTGTACGCTCATCATCATCCCCCCTACCTTATCCTACTCCCGTAGGGTCGGCGCTCCGGGAATTCTTTACTTAAATAACTCTATCATCCGTCATCTCAGCCATCACTCCCTTCTTGATCATCATCTCCCGAAATCAATTCATCTCTTTCTAGGTCTACCTCTACCGGTCTACCTGTACCACACTCATAACTAACGTCCTTCTAGTTACATGCGATTCATCCCTCCTCATAAATACCCCAAACTGTGCTAATCTTTGAAGCACGCTAATAATGTAATACTTACGTGGCAAATTAATTGGAGTTCATAGGTTTTATGTTCGGTATAGATAGCACGGGTTCGCCACATTCGGTGGCGAACATAATTTTGTATTTCGCGCCCCGGGTTTAGTGCGGGTAAGCGCGCT